GTCTCTGGAAAAAGCCCAGGAGGAATCGGAGAGGATCAAGCGGGAGATGCAGGAGCTGGAGGAGCGAACGTGCAACATCAAGGTAAGGCCGCGGCCGCTTCCATGCTGGGTGCACGGGTGGGAACACGCTGGCTCTCACGGCTCTTCCCCACCCAGGACTCCTCCGAGGGGCTCAGATCGGTGATTCTCAGCAAATTCACCCTGCTGAGGAAAGCCCTGGAGGATTGCCAGCGGCGGACGGTGGCCAGGATCGAGCAAGAGCAGGCGGCGGCGCTGGGGCACGTGGGGGAGAACTGGAGCCTCCTGAAGGACCGCCTGGACATCCTCGGGCAGCACAGGGAGAGGGCTCAGCGCCTGCTGGCCTGCCCCGACCACAGGGCCTTCCTCCAGGTACCGTCCCAGCGCCGTGTCCCTCCCCTGCCGGCCCCGCACGCTTTCAGTGAGGGTAGAGACGTGGTCGACCCCTTCCCCAGGGGGGACGCATCCTCAGCCTGGCTCAGGGATGTGATGGGGCCACAGGGAAGAGCTGCTTTTGGAGGGGTCCCTGAAAAGTTGGGGGGGCGATGCTGGATCGGAGCGGATGGTGCTGCCCGCAGGGCCATGGGCAGCATCTCCCACCCCCAAACCGCTCAGCAAGGCTCTTCCATTGCCAGCAAAATACAAAGTCCTGTGCCGCAGCCCCTCCGCTCCCCGCAGCCTCACACTCCCCCTGCGACTGTCCCCCGTCCCCGCGCACCAGCCGCAGCTAACAGCAGACGTTTTGGGGATGTCCCCGTCACCCGCTGGGGAGATGCGGCGTGTGCGGATGGGATTCGGAGCTGCCGATCCTCCCCAGGCCGTGCATGGCTGTCTGTGCGTCTGTCCGCAGGAGTTCCGCCTGCTCCCGTCTCCGGAGAGCCCAGAGGCGCTGCTCCCCGTGGAGTTTGACGTGGCCAGTGTGGCCGAGGCCATCACTGAGAGCCGACCCCATCCCTGAGATCCTCGCCAATGTCTCCAGGCTCCTGCTGGAGGACCTGCCTGGCTCTGCGGCCCCCAAAGCCCCCGACCCTGTTGGCCAAGGTAACCCTTCTGCTTGCAGGGCCACCCCGAAGGGCTCCAAGTCACCCTTAAGCACAGCCTGGCCCGTGTCACCATGCTGGGGACACGGCTGCCGGGCACAGGG